ATGGAATAACAACATCCGTTGGAACTGTCTGTCCGAAGTTGAGGTGTGCCACCTCCAGGAGCCAGCAGATTGGCAGCAGCAGCAGGAGCAGAGCCAACGAAAAGCATCCTACGTCTTCTGGAAGGACGCTGCTCCCATGCTAGAGCCACGTAAAGGCCTCGCGGCGGCTGCATTCCGGGACAACATTTTCATTGCCGGAGGCAGCAATAAGCAGGGCTACTTGAGCACAGTTGATGTCTTCACCCTGCCCGACAACCAGCGACCATTAGGAGAGTGGACGCGCCTCGATACCTGGGACACCAAAAGGCCAACTACGGGTCTCGTCGTCTGTGCAGACAGACTCTTTTCTTTCGGTAAGTCTTGCATTCTGCACTTAGTTGACTTTGCTGTTCAGAGGGAGCGCTTGTGGTCTTTCCGGAATGAGCGGGTAGGATCCCACTTTGGGTCCCAGGTCAGTACGCGAAAGCTCCATCCTCCTGTAATACAGAACCGGGTGTAATAAAAAGTAAACTGTCTGGACAATACAAGGGAAAGGAAATATAAAAAAATCAAGTTTATAAAATTAGAAAGGAACAGGAATAGTTATTGAAATAATCTAATGTTCTTCAACAAAATAGCGTGCCATAATTGAAATGTAAAATTAGGCAAATAGCGGAAAATAACTAAATTAAAAGATAACTACCAAAAACTAAAAGCGTAATCTAAACTAAGTCAAACTCAGATTACTGAAAAACCATCTAAAACGAAAATCAAAGTAACAAACATAATAATGAATCAAAAACTGAACTAAAATACATGTAAGTTAAATAAGCCAAATAAAAAACTAAGGTAAAGTTTGGCGCATGGCAACTAAATACTAATCTAACGCCAGAACGGTGAGTTTAACCTGACGTAAATTGAAGTAGACAATTTCCTAACTACCATTTTTTCAGGAATACCAACAAGCCCAATGAACAATAAAGTGTAAGTAAGTAATACATTTCCAAATTTGTCCCACCCAATAAACTATACGTCAGTAAGAACTGTAAGTAAAGTTCTATGTTTATTTATTGCGTGCTATTTTGTTGCGGATATATAAAATTATTTAAACAATTTCTGGGACCTTATATGGAATTCCACCAATGAATAATGGACAGATGTCGAAATTGTCCATGGACTTTCCCTGTTGACTGTCTGTTTGCCTCCTAGCAACTGCAATTTTGGGAGAATAGGGAGTCTACTCAGTATGAATTCGTGAATAGTCTAGCTTACAACGTCAAATTGAAAATAAGGTCGCAAATACTAGTCCTCTAAAGGTAGCGCTTTGTTGGGGTAATACCCTTCCATTAATTGACTCTTTACTCGTCACGCGGACAGATGCAAATATTTCTCGAGCTTTGGCACTTTTGTTTAAATAAATACAGGTATCACCTCGACCATTATACACTAGCGAAAAAGTCCGGCTTCGCCTTAAGGCCTCCTTGCCCGTTATAGTCCTCTTAAGAAGGCAGCAGACAGTAAAACAACTGCATTCTGCC